AGCTAGCATGAAATCTGATCACAATCATAATTTCCAATCTTATCAAAAACAACACTAGGATTGAAGATGGACATGATCAAATCTTGCCACATATTCTCATTTGTTTCTTTTTCTTGCCTGATATTCTGTTTTCCTTTAAGGAAAGTCCATTATTCTCATCTCTCTTTTAAGATAAAGTACTATATATGTTTAACGAACTTAGCAGTCACTAACTTGTAATAAAAAAATTACAAATTATTGTATGTTAATGAAAAATCATCTTAAAAAGTGATATTTTGGAGCTGTTTTCTTATTTTTTATTTTTTATTGCTGAAGATACGCACAGTGCATGTCACTTTTCAAAATGACAACATCAAAATAGTGTCAAAAAAATTGAGAGCGATTGTATTTATTATCAAAAATTTAAATGATATAAGTGGAAATGATGACAAATATTTTATCTTTACATTTGATTATTTTCTCATCTCATAGCGGTTTAGCAGAAAATTCAATTATACATAATCCAAAGTGGACAGAAATTATTGGATTCCAAGCATCGTATCCCTTGTACTAACATGACTTGATAATTTTCGTTGCCAAACAAAATACACGCAGATGCCATTTATCTCTTTCTAGTTTCATGTTGGAATAATCTTTGCTTTCCCCCGCATCTTTGCTGCAGTAAATTTGCAACACACAATCACAATGTCGACCGAGATTAATTAATTACTCTTAGTTCTAACAAGCACAGCTAACGGCTTTGATACCTTCTCTTAGGAGCTAGAAAAAGATTATGGGATTAATTAGCAGAGAGTTTGTTGGAAAATAATCCAAGAACCTACTAACATATAATAAATAAATAAGAGAGATATGATCCAAGAAGATTCTAGTTTGTAATGAGAAGACGGGTCCAAAGAATCCAGAATTAGACTGTGGGTTAGTTAAGAGATGAGAAAGCAAATGAAGCTAGTTGACGAAGAGAAACGACAAGATATATAGAGATGGAAAAAAGTGTGGCAAGCCTGGTTGTTCACTTGGTTTGGTGAGAATAAGGCGAGTGTGAGCATCATCTTTACAGCCGTTCGTGAGATAAACTAGAATCAAATAAAGCTAAAATTAAAAATCCCCAACGATCTATCCTTTGTATTTATATGACTCTGAAGTTTTCGATGCCAATCAAAACTTACACGTATGTATACAGAATTTTCTTTTGACTCCAAGTATTCGTGTTTTAGCCATGCTAGTATGCTGATCTCAATTTGTCTAAA